ACACACACACACACACACACACACACACACACACATGCTCTACTAATTGATTTAATAAAATTGGTATCAAAAAAGTATCGTTCTGGAACCAGTATCGAAGTCAAGGTATCGGTATCGAAAATTTTTGACCGATACCCAGCCCTAATTATAAATGTCCTTACTGTCACTTTTGATCAATTTAATGCAGCCTTGATGAATAAAAGTATTAATTTCTTTAAAAAAAAAAATCATACTGTCCCTAAACTTTTGAACACTTGTGTAACTGTAGTGTGAAGCTGATTTTGTCAGGTTTTTTTATTTTATTTATTTGCATATAATGTTGCAATTGAGTTTGTAAATACATTTTGGATTTTAATTAATAGCCTATTTTTAATTTGTTATATTTAATTTATTATGTCTTAAAAATTATATTTTAAGACATTTTAATTGATATTTTCCTTATTATATTTCATATTTATTATTAATTCATAATTAAAACGTTCTCCTCTTTAGTTTGGTGTTACATGCAGTCGTCGTTACTTGAGCACATCTCTAGCATCGATTAAATCAGGTTTGAGTGGCACATGATGATTTCCCTCGTGTCTTTCAGTGTTTTGCTGAACATGTTGTGAATGAGCTGGAGAAGTTTCCTGCAGAGAAGAGAGACGACGTGGTGATTCTGTTCTCGGCTCACTCGCTGCCGCTGTCTGTGAGTCTCACCTCATGTTTTATCACCGTCTGCATATGTTTATCCCTCATAATGCATTCAAAAGCTGTATATTATTTTCACATGGTAAATGTTTGGAGTTGTTATTTTATAAAACATTCATAAATTCATATTTTAAGTAATATAATATTTCAATATTTTAAATAATAATAAAAAAGTTTTAAAAATAATAAATTATATTTTAAACTAAAACCATATTTTATCTGATCAACAACTTCTCATTAATGAGTGAATGTGAAAAAAATATATAAAAGTTTAGAATGTTGCCATGTTATTACTGCATTTCCCCTCTTTTTGATTCATTAAAAAATTGAGAAATTACACATAAACCACACCAAAAAAAACTATATACAAAATAAATATATATTTTTTTCAATATTAATGAGAAATCTTATTTGAATATATCATTGTATGAAATTTATAAGAACAAATAATCTGAGAATTACCAGTATTAAATGACCAGATTTAATGTAAACTCATTATTGCTCAAAAACAGTCTAAATTTATGAAATCTACATATTTATTTCTAACAAAACAAAATGAATATTACTCTGAAAAGTATTCAATGTAAATAAATTCATTTTACTTGCATCAACTTTCACTTTCAGATGAAAAAGTGTTAAATTTTTCATGCTGCAATGGTTCATCAGCAGGCGTACATATTCATGATTATCAACAAAATTCACTCCAAAAGTATGTGAGATATGGGGAAACGGCTAAATATATTTTACAAAAGTTTTTTGATACTAATATAACTTAACCTAATTTTACAAAAGTATTTTTGACACCTAACGGTACTCCATACATAGCTTGGTCCAAAATCCCCCGGGTTATATCTCTTAAAATATAATCATAAAAAATCTGAAAAAAATAAAAGATGTATTTTGAGGGTCTTAAAGCATTTGCAAAGTTTTGTTCCCTTACAAAAAAAAATCTCTGTCAAGATGAACCTGAATGCATTATGGGTGTTATTTATTGTTTAGAATAAAAAGTAATAAGCAAACCCGTCCTGGGCTTTAACTGTGTGTTTAGGTGGTGAACCGGGGCGATCCGTACCCACAGGAAGTTGGCGCGACGGTTCAGAGGGTGATGGACCGATTAGGACACTGTAACCCGTACAGACTCGTCTGGCAGTCAAAGGTCACGATCAGAAATAATTAGTGACCCTGGAGCACAAAAGCAGTCTTAAGTCGCTGGGGTATATTTTTAGCAATGGCCAACAATACATTGAATGGGTCAAAATTTTAGATTTTTCGTTTATGCTAAAAATCATTAGGATATTAAGTAAAGAATGGGTCAAAATTTTAGATTTTTCTTTTATGCTAAAAATCATTAGGATATTAAGTAAAGATCATGTTCCATGAAGATATTGTGTAAATTTCCTTCCGTAAATATATCAAAATGTAACTTTTGATTAGTAATATGCATGGCTAAGGACTTCATTTGAACAACTTTAAAGATGATTTTCTCAATAATTAGATTTTTTTGCACCCTCAGATTCTAGATTTTCAAGTAGTTGTATCTCAACCAAATATTGTCCTATCCTAACAAACCACACATCAATGGAAAGATTAATAAACCACAATATCAGTCTTAAGTGTCAATTTTTCAAAATTGAGTTTAATACACATATATACAATACAGCTGAATAAATAGCTTTCCATTGATGTATGTTTTGTTAGGATAGGACAATATTTGGCCGAGATACAACTATTTGAAAATCTGGAATCTGAGGGTGCAAAAAAATCTAATTATTGAGAAAATCATCTTTAAAGTTGTTCAAATGAAGTTCTTAGCAATGCATATTACTAATCAAAAATTAAGTTTGGATATATTTACGGTAGGAAATTTACAAAATATCTTCATGGAACATGATCTTTACTTAATATCCTAATGATTTTTGACATAAAAGAAAAATCTATAATTTTGACCCATACAATGTATTGTTAGATATTGCTTCAAATATACCTGTGCTGCTTATGACTGCTTTTGTGCTCCAGGGTCACATTTATTCAGTTTTCAGATTATGTATAAATCTCAATTTCAAAAAATTGGCTCTTAAGACTGCTTTTGTGGTCCAGGGACACATTTTTCACAATGGAAAAACACGGTTTCATTTACTTTGTGAAAGCATTGTGTTTATTACCATGAAGAGCAGCTGGTAAACAGAGTGCTGTAACTGCACTCAGATCTGAGCTCCGCTGAAGGTGATTTGTGTCCCTGCCGGGCTCCTGTAGGTGGGGCCGATGGCGTGGCTGGGGCCGCAGACTGATGAGGTCATCAAGGGCCTCTGTCAGCGCGGGAAGAAGAACCTGCTGCTGGTTCCCATCGCTTTCACCAGCGACCACATCGAGACACTGCACGAGCTCGACATCGAGTACTCGCAGATCCTCGGGGAAGAGGTGCGTCAGTTTGCTGCTTTACCTACTTTAAATTAAGATTCTTGTTGCATAACACTTCAATCAAGTGACTTAATATAAAGTGGTCAACAGTTAAACTATATTTTAAAAATTTTGTATATAGATATATATATATATACACGCATAATGTATTGTATAATTGTATATATTTATTACATAATATCATTATTATAATATATTTAGAATAATATTGTTTACATTTGGCAGACGCTTTTATCCAAAGCAACTTACATTTCATTCGATTTGTTGTTCATGCATTCCCTAAAGATCAAACCCATAATAAAAAAAAAGATTTATATAATTTATTTATTAATTATATAATTATAATATAATTTATCATTCTTTAATTATAAAAACTGTAATAATAGAAAATAATAATAAGAATTATGTATGTGTGTGTGTATATATATATATATATATAATACATACACACACGTTGAACAGGTAGTTTTACACCAAATACAACTAGATAACCTAGAATACACAAATTTAAAACGGTAGCGATTAAATTTTATATACAGTTGTGATGACTAGCAGCATTTACACACATGGTCAGAATTGTTGGCACCCTTGGTAAATATGATCAAAGGAGGCTGTGAAAATAAATCAGCATTTTTAATCCTTTTGATCTTTTATTTAAAAAAATCACAAAAATCTAACCTTTCATTGGAGAATGAGAATTTAAAATGGGGGGGAAATATCATTATGAAATAAATGTTTTTCTCAAATACACGTTGGACACCATTATTGGCACCCCTAGAAATTCTTATGAGTAAAATATATCTGAAATATATTCATATTCACAATTTTGAGCACACCAGCCATGGCTTCCTGTTTCACAGGAATATAAATAGAAGGGAAAACAAAGGCCAAAGTCCAAATCAATCACCCATCACAATGAGAAAAACCAAAGAATATATTTCTGATGTGCAGCAAAATATAATTGAGCTTCATAAATTAGTGAAGTGGCTTTAAGAAAAGAGCTAGAGCAGTGAAAATTCCCATTTCCACCATCAGGGCAATAATTAAGAAGTTCCAGTCAACAGAAAATGTGTCTATATCGTCCTAATGCACGGTGAGGAGGAGAGTTTGAGTGGCCAAAGACTCTCTCCGAGGACCACAGCTGGAGAATTGCAGAAAAAGGTTGAGTTTCGGGGTCAGAAAACCTTTAAAAAATGATCAAACAGCACCTACATCACCGCATGTTGTTTGGGAGGGCTTCAAGAAAAAAATCAAGAAAAAAAAATGCTCTCATCCAAAAACAATCTCCAGCATATTCTGTGTTCAGACACGACTGGAACGCCAAACGGGACTGGCTTCTATGGTCAGATGTAACTAAAAAATTAGCTTTTTAGCAACGAACACTCAAGATGGGTTTGGTGCACACAGGGATAAAAAGTACCTCATGAGTACAATGAAATATACTGCTGTATTTTTAATGTTGTGGGCCTATATTTCTGATGGAGGTCCTGGACATCTTTTTTAGACACATGGCATCTTTGATTCTATCAAATACCAACAGATCTGTTAGAAATCTTATAATGGGCCATGTTTGGATCTTCCAACCGGACAATAATCCAAAAACAAACCTTAAAAACAACACAAAAATTGGTCACTTCTGCTATGGCCAACCCAGTCCTCTGACCTGAACCCTATAGAAAATGAGTGTGGTGAACTGAAGAGGAGAAGCACCGTCATGGAGCTTTCTTTTTTCAAAAAGGTTTCAGAAAGTATTGAATGTGTATTTGAGAAAAACATTTATTTCATAATGATATTTCCCCCCCCCATTTTAAATTCTTATTCTCCAATGAAAGGTTAGATTTTTGTGCATTTTTAAAAAGATCAAAAGGATTAACAATGCAGATTTATTGTCATTTGATCATATTTACTAAGGGTACCAAATAATGGTAAGCCACACAAGGATTCATTGAATCTGTGAATTGCTGTTTGAGCTGGGAAATGAATAGGAGTCACTGAATGAACTGATTCACTGAAATTAATCCGATATGGCAACACGAGGAGAGTAAGTTTGATCAATGCCTCGGTTTGCTTCAGTAAATGACAGAGATCAGTAAACGTCCTGCTTTGTCCCGCAGCAGCTGATGTGCTGGTGTACTGCAGACTGTAGTGTGTACTGTAGGTTAGTTGTTTCCCATCACTGCAGTGTCTGTTATTAACCGTGAGCTGAGCGATCTTTGACCTTTGACCTCTGCTCTCATATCTGAGACTCATCGATCAGTGCTTCGCTTCTGAAGAGTGTGAGTGTGTTTCCCAGACTCATGCGGTGTGTGTGTGTTTGCCCTGAGGCTAGCATTCGCGTGAGTCTCTTCTGCCGGTTTCTCTCACCTGTCCATCGATCTGTGGCCCCGGGGCCGCCCGTCTGCAGCAGGGGTCTGATCTGATCCGGTCTCCTGTCTGTTCTTCTGGATCTGGTCCTCCGGCAGATGTGGGAAACTGCTATTGGTTAATAGCTAAAACATATTAAAATGTCAGTGTACTTCAGTGCACATTTTGAGCAATAACATTACTAGGGTTAGTATGGCTAACTATAAATAAAACTTAAAAAAATATTTTATAACTTGCAGAATAATAAATGTTAACAATTTTTTTTATTGAAAAATGCATATATAATTTGTGACCCTGGAGCACAAAAGCAGTGTTAAGTCGCTGGGGGATATTTGTAGCAATAGCCAACAATACATTGTATGGGTCAAAATTATACATTTCTCTTTCATGCCAAAAATCATTAGGATATGAAGTAAAGATCATGTTCCGTGAAGATATTTTGTAAATTTCCTACCGTAAATATATCAAAACTTAATTTTTGATTAGTAATATGCATTGCTAAGAACTTCATTTGAACAACTTTAAAGATGATTTTCTCAATATTTCGATTTTTTTGCACCCTCAGATTCCAGATTTTCAAATAGTTGTATCTCGGCCAAATATTGTTCTATCCTAACAAACCATACATCAATGGAAAGCTTATTTATTCAGCTTTCAGATGATGTATACATTTCAAATGTATATATAATATATAATGTATATATATGTCAATAAAGTATGTGTGTGTACAAAAATATTACGTAATTTTTTTATATAATAGAAATATTCATAATTTCACAGTTTATATAATATGTAATTCTATATTATAATATATATGAAATTATGAATTTGTTTTATCTTATCTTATATAATTATTATTTTATCTCTATCTATAATAAAATATGTATTTAAAAATCGAAAATTATTCAATTATTTTTTATTTATTCATTTTCTTATTTTTTTTTGTATTAAATATAAAATTGTATTTTCTTGCATTCATCAACCATCTTGAATTTTTCTCTAAGTCAAGGTTTCTTAGAAGTCAAAATTTTTTTTACTTCAGCTAGGTGCCAAGGCATAATTTCTCATTTTTTGTTTAGTTCAGGTTGAAGTACTAAAATAACCAAGACTAAATAAAGTAAAACTAATAAAAACACTCAACAAAATGACACAAACTTTAGCTAAAATTAAAATGAAATCAAAATATAAAAATAAAATCTAATTAGAAATATTCAAAAACACTATAATAGCATCTCAGTGATACTAAAATAACACTGAACGCAACACAAAAGCATAAAACTAGATTGTTTTTGGCGATCAACACATACTTGATTATGCAATTAGACTCTTTTTAATGAAAAAATGTAGTTTTGTGTGTATGTGGTCAGTAAAGCAGATGTAATAGTGCTTCTGCAGATGTGCTGTAATGTGACTGAACTGTGTGTTTCAGTGTGGCGTGGAGAACATCAGACGAGCCGAATCTTTGAACGGAAATCCACTGTTCTTCAGGGTAAGAGCGAAGGCATGATCATAGTAGGGATGCACGATATCGGATTTTTGCCGATATCCGATATGCCGATAATTTTCAACACATTTTGGCCGATAGCCAATGCCGATACCGATATATATTGATTTTTAACAAGAACTTATTTGTTGAAGATTTGAAAATAACTTTAAATTAAACACTGCATTTTTTTTTCAGAAAGATGCAGTGGTAACCATAATTTATTTTATGATTTAACATTTGTAAATGGTCTAAAGCAAAAGAGTTGTAAAAATTCTGAAAATCTTTTTAAAGCTCATAATTTGTTTTAAAAATTTAACATATTACACATATATACAAATCAGTATATATGATTTTTTGTTGTTGTTCATGTAAGCTATAGCTTCTGACCTTTAAATCAAAACATACTCATGATTTTATGGCATCAATTACTGCTTTAATTAATCAGAAACACAGTCTAAATATTATTTGTGTATTTTGCTTTCATTTTATTAGAAGTAGGCCAACAGTGGCCACTATGGAATTAAAACTCCTTACTGAGCGGGCTTTAGGACCCTGGGGAGGGTGCCGCTGCACGTGCTATTACTGTTGACTCTATCATCACCGAACGCATTCTGTACGTGCTTTCTCAGTTTAAATGCAGCGATCCAAAACAGTGAATCCAATCACCATTCAGGCAAAACTTTGCTTCAAGAATGAACCACACTCTCTCTCTCTCTCTCTCTCTCTCACACCCTGAGCACATGCGATTTAACGTATTCCTCTTATCGGCAAGACATATCGGCATCATTTTTCATGTCAGGCCGATATTTACATTTAAAGCCATTATCGGCCGCTAATATCGTGCATTCCTAGATCATAGCAATGCATTTACCTCATCATCAGCTTAGTTTTGAATGTTAATGATTTCTCTGTAAAAACGGCACTTTAATTTAGAATTAGTGAGAGAAAATGAAAAAAGTACTAGTCTTTGGTTGGTTTGTAGTGGAGTTAACGGAGGTTAGTTTTCTGCTGTGTGTTGAACTCATCAGTGTGTGTCTGAGAAATTCACCCACGGCCCGCTGAGTTTATTAAAACCCCTGAAATCAATCAGGACTTCAGCTGACTGCACAGAACACACACACACACACACTCTCTCTCTCTCTCTCTCTCTCTCTCTCTCTCTCTCTCTCTCACACACTAGCTCTGTTGCTGAAAAGTGGTTGATCTGAGCAATCTAGCGATGCATTTCAACAGATCGTGACCTTTGACTGCCAGACGAGTCTGTATGGGTTACAGTGTCCTAATCTGTAATGTTCAAAAGTTTGGGATCAGTAAGACTTGTAATTTTTTTTAAAGAAGTCTCTTCTGCTCATCAAGGCTAAAAATACAAAAAAAAAAACTGTAATCTTGCAAAATGTTATTACAATATAAAATAATGGTTTCTATATTAATATCCTTTAAAATATAATTTATTTCTGTGATGCACAGCTGAATTTTCAGCATCATTACTCCAGTCTTCAGTGTCACATGATCCTTCAGAAATTATTCTAATATGCTGATTTATTATTAGAATTATCAACAGTTGTGCTGCCAAATATTTTTTTGGAAACTGTGATACTTTCTTCAGGATTCTTTGATGAATAAAAAGTTTTAAAGTACAGAATTTATTCAAAAATTAAATCTTTTCTAACAATATAAATCTTTGCTATCACTTCTTATCAATTTAACACATCCTTGCTGAATAAAAGTTTTAATTTCTTTCAAAATGTCAATATTGTTAGAAAAGATTTCTATTTTAAATAAATGCTCTTCTTTTTAACTTTTTTTTTATTCATCAAAGAATCCTGAAAAAAAGTATCACAGGTTCCAATAAAATATTAAGCAGCACTGATAATAAATCAGCATATTAGAATGATTTCTGAAGATCATGTGACACTGAAAACTGGAGTAATGATGCTGAAAATTCAGCGCTGCATCACAGGAATAACTTGCATTTTAATGTATATTAAAATAGAAAAACTTTATTTTACATCATAATATTTCACAATATAAATTTTTCCCTGTATTTTGACTTGAGCATAAGAAACTCCTTTAAAAAACATTAAAAATGATCATGATGCCTCTGAATAATCAGGGCATCTTGGAAGCGGGCATCATGTTGTGTCCTAGCTTGTTGACCATCCTTCACATTGATGGTGTAGGGTGCTGTCTATGTAGTGGTCTCACTAGGTCTCTCTCTCAGGCGCTGGCGGATCTGGTTCAGTCCCATCTGAAGTCCAACAAGCCGTGTTCCCGTCAGCTCACCCTCCGCTGTCCGCTCTGCGTCAACCCCACCTGCGCTCAGACCAAGGCCTTCTTCTCCAGCCAGAAACCCTGACCTCTGACCTCTCAGCAGCCATGTACCCGACGGCAGCGCTGGACTCTAGGTTAGCTTAAGGGTAAAGCCAGTGCACGAGGGTGATTTCAGACTGAGACGAGTCATAAGTGCCGCCCTCATTGAAAACAAATGCGTTTTTTCTTACATTCCAACCTTATACATCCGAAAACATCCGCATCCCCTTCACCTTTTTAGTTTCCCTCTTGGTCTTTCCGTCCAGATTTTTTCTTGCACGTGATTGAGAACGCTTGTGTCTTCCCTTAAAAAAACTAAACGCAGTCCTAAAAAAATGCAAAAACAGTCAGCGTGGAACAAATGACACATTAATCGAATAAACATGGTGCTAAAGTTGTGTGCACATGCATTTGTGCATCAGATCGGCTTAAAAGAAATCGTTCACATTCATTCATGTGCTTTCAAACCTGTATGACTTTATTTCTTCTGTGGAAATGTTGTGTTGAAAAGCTTCGAAACGTACAAAAGCACCATTAAAGTATCATGACTTCAGAAGAACTTCAGTTCAGAGTAGTGCACAATTCATATGTTATTTATATATATATATATATATATATATATATATATATATATATATATATATATATATATATACACAAATATATATAC